CGTGAATCTCTGGTTATATTCAACTAGTAATTCTGAGGTGTCTTACACACCTCTTCAAAAGGTTTCAAAGTTACCATAAATTTCTTGGTTATGATCACGTGGCTCAAGCTGATTACTAATCTAAGCTGTGAAAACGTGATATGTAGGTGTGAAAATTAGTAATTATTAAGTGTTTTAAAACACCTTTTTAAATGGTAGTCAAAGTTGCCATAAGTTCCGCGGTGATGATCTCGTGACTCAAACGGATTATTGATCTAAGCTTGTCATACGTGACTTTTAAGAGTGAAAAATTAGTCATTATTAGGTGTCTTAAAACACCTATTTAAATGGTTTCAAAGTTACCATAACTTTCTTGGTGATGATCACGTAGTTAAAACTGATTACTAATCTAAGCTGTGAATCCGTGATATTTAGGTGTGAAAAATTAGTCATTATTAGGTGTACTAAAACACCTATTTAAATGGAAGTCAAAGTTGCCATAACTTCCGCGGTGATGATCTCGTGACTCAAACGGATTATTAATCTAAGCTGGGCATACGTGACTTTTAGGTGTGAAAAATTAGTCATGATTAGGTGTCTTAAAACACCTATTTAAATTGTAGTCAAAGTTGCCAGCAGTTCCGCGGTGATGATCGCGTGACTCAAACGGATTATTAATATAAGCTGGGTATTCCGTGTTTTCCATGTGTGAAAATGAGTTATTCTTGGGTGTCTTGATGGTTTCACAGTTACTATTTAAGTTCCGTGGTGATAATCCCGTGACTGTTGGCATATTTCTATGTTCACCAGTTGATAACTGACTGTTGGCATATTTTCATTGCACCAGTTGATAACTGGAGTGTGCACATTTCCAGTTGCACCAGTTGATGACTGAGCGTTGGCATATTTCGAGTTGACCCAGCTGACACCAATTCATTTGCATATTGAATATGGGGTGTGTGCAGATCTATGTTTTTAAAACAATTTATCTGAATTTACAGCATATTTCTTTATTACTGATGATTTAGTTATATGCAATTCATTTCGAAAATACTACAAATATAAATTACCAGTTATTAGGACATTTCGCTACTTCGTATAAATAGTTAAACATGAATAAGGGAAACATTAACTGTGAACTAAAATAATTTCAATAAAGTACAAGTATACGAATTTGTTTCGATTAATTCAATTATGTAAGTCTACTTATTACCAATGCCCTTACATTGGAAATACAGACGTACCAGTTTTGAAGTATTGTTGCTGTTCAACTGGTTGGAAGTTTTACTAAATGGTTCTAATGGCTCAGCTAGACCAGTTGAATTATAACTGGCCTGGATCAACTGGATCATTTAGCCCATTTCAATTTCCAGGGTTACCAGTTGGCATTAAAAATGGTTCATCAACTGGACCAGTTGCAACTAGCTTTCTCTTCTGGGATGTTTGCACCCCCCCCCCCCACCCAACCCCCTCTAATCCCAAACTGCTTCCGGCGCGCCTGGATGTAATTATGGAAGATCCAAGACACGATGTTCAGAAACGGGATGAGAACGTCATTATTTTGGTTCATTTATTGTGTAACATTTGCGTAATTATTGGGTTGAACGCGGGTTACAGTAACATACTTCCTCTTCGACGTAAATTTCACGTGAATGAAGAACATGATTCATCTCAAGTCAGCCTCGTAATATTCACGTGAATTTCACGCAGATATTTTGACTAAAACTATCATTAACGCTTCACGTGTTTCTGTGACGCGATAATTTCGTGTATGAAGATGTAATTTCATAACCAAACAAACACGGAAGTATTAGGTTTACAAACCATGGTCTCCAAGGTAGGGATAATCACGTTATTATAATGGTGATATTGCAGTGACAATTGCGTGATTTAGTGTACGTGTGTTTTAAGTTACCTAATGCAATAAACGTATACACCGATACGGGCGAATTTTCATGGATGTGAGCCCTCTACGTTTATCATTACACGCTGGGGGGCTTCTATCAGCTTGCGCTTTCATCTTGCATGCAACGATCATTGCTTTCTCACAGACAAACCACTTATTATTCCTTGCCGCTTTCGGACATTTCAACTTCATTTTGTCTAAATTTATTTCATTTACGATGGATGAATGGGTAGATGATGTCCGTCATTGGCGAGTTTTGCGTGCGTTTTCGGCAATCGAAGTTTGGGAGACGCCGTTGTAACGGTGCCCCACATATTCATTATCGTGTATGTTAACATGCAGATGATTTTATTGAATTGAAGAGAGTGAGAGACGGAATGATTTAGAGTTAGAATATAAATAATTCAAGGAATTTTAGCTAGCTGGAGCAGAGTTGTGAGTTCGATCTTACGGTACGGAGGCACTCTCACCACACCGCCAGTAGATGCGGGCCTAAGTACGAACGAGCTCTCGCTCATTCAACTTTCCCATTCAGGTGCTATCCAGAAGCCCCCCAGCTGCCCCCCAACTGTAGCGCCACTTACGGCGGCTTGCGTGGAAGGTCGCCCAAAGTGTATTTGTGTATACGTGCCTTCACGGTTGTTTCATCGCAAAGCATGCCGGGACATAATTCTAGTCCATTTTCACCTTCGCCGTGATCAGCTGTCCTGTTGCAAACAACGGGATTCGTATCGAATCAACATCATAATCTTGTACATAGTCCGCTATTCTGCAGTGATTTTCTTCCAATCCAGTATCATTTGTACGGTAAGAAAACCAAAGTTTGTGGTTATTCATTTTTATGACTAATAAAGCTGATAATACGACGTAATGAGAGTGGGCCGAGATCCAACTTTAGTAAATGTAGGCCTAGATCTAGTCCCGTATGTTCAAATGTGTGTGCATTTTAAGTAGACTGATTGTCTTTTAAGCTGCTTAAGTACACTCGTCTCGTGTTTTAGGTAGAAATGTACAGTAATATGAGATTTATGTCTCATGAAATATGAATAGACTTTCTAGATCCTATAATTGATAATGGAATAGGGTCTACTAGAATGGCCGACAGTTAGGCCTAGAAAGTGATTGCAATTAGAAATTATAAATGTAAGAAAGTAAAAGAGGCCATGAAAACGATAGATTTTTTCGATCTGGATCTGAATATAATAGTCTGATATCAATGAGCTCTACTTGAGGATCTACATGACGGGGGCGTACGGAGGATTTTTTCGAGGGGGGGGGGGGGGGGGGGCCGGGGGGTAAAATTTGAAAATCACGCAGTCAATTTCACAACGACTCGGCCAGCTGGTGAATAAGCCGGGGGTGGTAAGAGCACCTTTTTTTTTCCTTCTTTTTTCCCCCGAAAATATGAAATTTGGGAGACCGATATTTTGTTCAGTTGGTGGGGGGTAAGGTCACCTTTTTTGGGTCACCCTTTAGCACAAAAAATGTTTAATTTATTTTTGTTATTAAAAAAGTGAGGGGGGGGGGTCCTCAAAAACACACACACACATAGTCTAAACAAAATTAGAGGAGGGGGGGGGGGGGGTTCAACCCCCGAAACTCCCTCCCCCCTGCATACACGTCTGCTACATGATCTAGTGTTGAAGAAGTGATGAGGGTTCTTTGGTCACAAACTTAAATTTGATTTTCTTTTCCCTTTTATTTATCAGTTGCAGCATCATCGAACACTATGACCCATGAATCAGAAGATAACGTAGATGCTACGAGAGAGCTCATTTCACAATGGACAACAGAAGTGTTACGTGACTTTCTACAAGGAGGGGACTCAAGCTTGGAAATCGAGTACCGGTAGTCATTATTTTATGGGTGTTCTCTGCCTTGACTCTGGGGGTACTGTTCAGCCATCCGAGGTAGAGATAAACTGGACGATGGATGGAGAGGGGGCGGGGGGGGGGGGGGGGGGGGGAGAAAGGCATGCAGACTGCAGAGCTGGTCGTCTACTATGTATAGAGACATTTGTGTGTACCTAGTAGATAAGGACCCTCCATCACTAGAGGGAAGAATGAGAGACTACAAAGAGGGAAAGGCATTTAGTTATTTTGCCAGTTTCTGGTTAGGGAGATATTTTTTTCATCTCGTGGGAGAAAGCTGTCTGTAATTCAAAATCATTTGATACTTGAATAAATTTAGTTCATTTTCTAGACTGTTTCATGTCAAACCGTTGATTCTACTTTCTTGTGAGTATAGTCAGAGAGATAGAGAAGTAACACGAGTAAAGAATGAAAAAGAAGCTAATATTTGAACGAGGAGGAGAAAATGGAGATTACGTTGTTGCCCATAGAGTTGGAATAATTGTTCTTACCACTTTTTATTAAATGATTGTGACCATTTGGTTTATTGTTTGTACATAAAGGTCATATGTTATAAGAACTGTATTGATCAATCTAAAGAGTCTTATAGATTGATTAATACAGTTTTGAGATGATGATGATGATTGTGATGATGAACGAGAAGGAGAAGAGGAGGAACATATCATGAGTTGATGGAGAAAAGATTGATAGAGGGGTTATCATTACAGAGAGAGAGAAAGAGAGATGGACTAACATGAGGAAGGGAGAGCAAGAATGGAGGCTATGACATAGGGGAAGAGATAGAAATCAAAATTATATTTATACTAACATTTACTAAATTAGAATAGTAAATTAGAAGATAAAGCTAAAGGAAAGAATGCAAACTAAAATTAAGCAAAGACCATCACAATATCGTTTACATTATAATATAAATTAAGTAAAGGTACATGGAAACGTGTACATTTGTAAAATTTAATCTCTTGTTCTCTTAGATCTTCCTCTTCACACCTAATTCTTGCTCTCCCTCTCTATCTCTCCCACCCCTCTCTGTCTCTTTCTCTCTCTCCTCTCTCCTTATTATCACTCTTTCTCTTTCATTAAGCGTCGACATCTCTCTCGATGCCTCTCTCTGTTTCTATGATTTTTCTCTCGTTAAATATTTAAAACATCAGGTCTGTCTGACCTTCCTCTCTTGAATAAATCATGAATAACTTTAACTTGGCGTCCTACATACAGTAATGATTGCTTAGTACTCATCTACAACCTTCTCTGTGTTGTTTTATTTTATTGATAAAATACATATAACCATGAGATGAATACAAGTTAGATCAATATCAACAGGTTTAATGCAATGCATATAAGTTGACATCTTATGAAGAAGTAGTACCACCCCCGCCCCCCCCTCCAGGAATGGGAACGGAGGTACCGCATGCGTGTTCCCAAAATCTCTGGCTCGTAACAAAGAAAAAGATCTGCCCGTATTGACTTTACACACTGGACTTTTGCTGAGAAGGGGGGGGGGGGGGGTACCACCTTTAATGCAAACACATTTAAAGGGATCGGGTAACTTACTCTCAGATTCTGAAACAAAATCCTGGATTTAGCTCATGCTGCAATGATAAATTTAGGTCAGTCAGGAACTCAATGACTTTTACAATCCGATCGCCTGTCTGATTATCAAGATAATTACGATTGGAAATCGAAACCAAATTTTGTGTTTGCCAAACGGTTTTCATAACACTACAGTTTATTGGGGAAAACGAGTATGGTAAAAGGGGTCAAACAAAGATTTTTACTTTTTAGAGGCACTTCTTGATCATTTTGAAGCACAATTTTGTTAAGGCTTCAGTATTAATACACCATATCACAGACACTGGTAGCACGTAGGGCCATACGTCCATCTCGGTTTAAACATTGTTATACATTGTTAAACAATGCATTTTACAATACCTTTACAACATACACCATACACCATTTGCTGTCACATGGTTTGGAAATCACATTACAGATAATAATTCTACAACTGTGAGGTTTCACCTGTCGTCATTTGATACCCGAAGGAACACTTTTTTAGGGGCTAAATCTAATTTTTTCACAAGGCAAAATAACTATATGCCTTCCCCTCTTTGTAGTCTCTCATTATTTTTCCCTCTAGTGATGGAGGGTCCTTATCCAGTAGGTACATACAAACATAGTAGGCCAGTTCTGCATGCCTACCCCCACCCCCCCCCCAATCCATCCATTGTCCAGTTCCTCACAGTGTCTACCTCGGATGGCTGAACAGCTACCGCGTCAAGGCAGAGAACACCCATAAAATAATGACTACCGGTACTCGATTTCCAAGCTTGAGTCCCCTCCTTGTAGAAAGTCACGTAACACTTCTGTTGTCCATTGTGAAATAGCTCTCTCGTAACATCTACATGCACGTTATCTTCTGTTTCATCGGCCGTGTTCGATGATGCTGCAACTGATAAATATAAGGGAAAAGACAATCATATTAAGTTCGTGACCACAAGAATGATTGTAACAAAAGAATCCTTATCACTTCTTCAACACGTAGATGCTCAAGTTGAGCTCATCGATATCAGAATTTATATCCAGATCCAGATCGACAAATCTATCATTTTCATGGCCTCTTTTACTTTTTTACACTTAATTGCAATCACTATCTAAATGTCAGCCATTCTAGTAGACCCTATTCCATTATCAATTATAGGATCTAGAAAGTCTATTCATATTTCATGAGACATAAATCTCATATTACTGTACATTTCTACCTAAAACACGAGACGAGTGTACTTAAGCAGCTTAAAAGACAATCAGTCTACTTAAAATGCACACACATTTGAACATACGGGACTAGATCTAGGCCTACATTTACTAAAGTTGGATCTCGGCCCACTCTCATTACGTCGTATTATCAGCTTAATTAGTCATAAAAATGAATAACCACAAACTTTGGTTTTCTTACCGTACAAATGATACTGGATTGGAAGAAAATCACTGCAGAATAGCGGACTATGTACAAGATTATGATGTTGATTCGATAAGAATCCCGTTGTTTGCAACAGGACAGCTGATAACGGCGAAGGTGAAAATGGACTAGAATTATGTCCCGGCATGCTTTGCGATGAAACAACCGTGAAGGCACGTATTGTGACGGAATGTTACAGTGTTTAACCTGAAGAGGGCGACATTTTGGTCAGATTGATATAAGTGATTTGATAACGCTGCGAACGGGCAGTCCGTGTTTTGTATTGATGCAGTAAGGAATGCAGTAAAGTAAGCTGAAAGATCAAACATCATTGTAAGTTGTCATTATTTGTCTCGGATATTACTTTGATTGAAGTGATTGATGAATGCATGATTGAGATCCTCGTTGAATAGTTGTGAGTTGTGAGAGTCGACTGTCTGGGAGAGTTGACTGATTTATAAGACGAGACCTGGTTCGTGTCGTTCGGAATTGCTACCAAGTTCATGGAACCAGATCTCGTCACACTGGTGGCAGCGGCGGGACAACTAAAACAGCGTGGGTCATGCTTCCAGCGTGAAACTACATACTAAGACACGGACTCAAAACACGCCACCTTGTTAGGTGCTAACGTGAGCTGCGAACTATCGAGAAGTGCAGCCAGGTGAGGTGCCAAGTTGAGGTGCCAAGTTGAGGTGCAAGTTGAGGTGCCAAGTTGAGGTGCCAGGTGAGGTGCCAAGTTGAGGTGCCAAGTTGAGGTGCAAGGTGAGGTGCCAAGTTGAGGTGCCAAGTTGAGGTGCCAAGTTGAGGTGCCAGGTGAGGTGCCAAGTTGAGGTGCCAGGTGAGGTGCCAAGTTGAGGTGCCAAGTTGAGGTGTCAGTTGAGGTGCCAATTGAGGTTCTACTTGAGGTGGAAGTTCTTTGTGCTACAGCTCTTAATAAATTCACCATGGATAAAAAGGAGCATCAAAGGTCCTCAGTTAATGAATGTGACCTAACTCAATTGAACACAGAGCTGGAACGTCTACGAATGGAGAATCAAATTTTACAGTTGGAACGTGACAATGCACGGTCAAAAATTAATCTGATAGAAGCAAGACAACAGGGATTGTCTTCACAAAGTACCGTCAAGCTTGGACAGTTCGAAGAACCATCTGTGAGAAGGAGAGTAGATACGGACATAGTTTTCAATGGACCGTACACTGAGAGAAACAAGGGTGAAAACACGCCCGAATGTGGAGAGAAGAAAGGCTTGTATCCTGAGCTATTGACCCCAGACCGGAAGGTTGGAACCGATTGTTCGACTCCTGTGCCGGATACCATGTTTTCTCAAGAGTTGGCTGGGGACATTGGGTCCCCTTTCCTTGAAGGATTCGATCCCAATTTTCCATGGGAAAAGGCCAGTGGAAGAACGAAATCGGCTGTTACGAAGAAGCCTGACAACAAGCAGGGTGATGTGGAAATAAAAGAAGAAGTTTCTAGAGATTGTTCAATAGGAACAAAACAGAGCCAAAGGCCTTGCATAACACCTGATCGGTTCAATGGACAAACATCGTGGCATCAGTACTTGAAACACTTTGAAGCATGCAAAGATATAAATGGTTGGACAGAGGAGCAGGCAAGTGCTTTTCTGACTGTAAGCCTTCAAGGTGAAGCACTCCGTCTGTTGGACCATCAGCACGATCGCAAACTTACGTATAGGGGACTGACCAAGCTCCTAGAGCAGCGATTTGGCCCAAGTCAACAGGCAGAAAATTTTCTGTTTGAATTGCGTCATCGCCGTCAAGGCCAAACAGAAACACTGAAGGAACTTGGCCAAGTCATATGTGAATTGGCAATCAAAGCCTACCCAGACATTCCAGAGGTTGGGAGAAAAAGGCTCGAGAAGAACCATTTTATTGAGGCAATAGAAGACCGGACTATCCGAGAAGGAGTGCACAGAGCTAGGCCAAAGGACATTGACGAAGCTATTCGTGCGGCCATAGAGACAGAGAACTATGAAAGAATCGAAGAAGAACGAAGATCGGAGAGACGTCCGCACAAATTGGTGAGGGGTTCAGAAAAGGAATCTGAGCAACTCATCCAGAAATTGGAGCATTTGTGTGAAAGGCAGGCAACACAATTCGAGACAATGACAAGGCTCATGAATGAAAGATTTCTTTCTTCTGAGAGAGTTCCCAAACCACCAACTCCTAGAAATTCCGGCAAGAAATGGCGGAGAAAAGAAGATTTGATATGCTTCAACTGCAACGAAAATGGACATTTCGCAAGGGAATGTCCTCTTCCTGAAAAGGAGAGGTCGGGAAACGACGAACAGCTGACCGGAAGGTCCACGGGAAGGCTGTAAGAAGTAACGGACCTAGTCGACTTGATGATGGAAGGATTGTAACACTTACACCTAACGAAGAGCCCAAGCAAGGCTTATTTGTAGAGGGTACCATCAGGTCTATAAAATGTAGATTCCTCATCGATACAGGTTCAACTGACA